CTCCTCCCCCGCCTGCCACTCATACAGACTCCTCCCCGCCTGTCACTCATACAGACTCCTCTACCGCCTGTCACTCGTAGACTCCTCCCCCAGCCTGTCACTCATACAGACTCCTCCCCCGCCTGTCACTCATACAGACTCCTCTCCCGCCTGTCATAGACTCTCTCCCCCCTGTCACTCATACAGGCTCCACCCCCACCTGTCACTCATACAGACTCCTCTCCCGCCTGTCACTCATACAGACTCCTCCCCTGCCTGTCACTCATAGACTCCTCTCCTGCCTGTCACTCATACAGACTCCTCCCCGCCTGTCACTCACACAGACTCCTCTCCCGCCTGTCACTCATACAGACTCCTCCCCGCCTGTCACTCATACAGACTCCTCCCCCGCCTGTCACTCATAGACTCCTCTCCCGCCTGTCACTCATACAGACTCCTCCCCCGCCTGTTTTTCAACCTCAAACTCCGTCCCGTATGAGTCACGTGCAACAACAACAAGTGAAGCGGCGACACAGATCACAGTGCAGTGCAGCCCCGACCCACAGCGCCCCCCGACACACACACACAGTGCAGCCCCGACCCACAGCGCCCCCTGACACACACACACAGTGCAGCCCCGGCCCACAGCGCCCCCTGACACACACACACAGTGCAGCCCCGGCCCACAGCGCCCCCCGACACACACACACAGTGCAGCCCCGACCCACAGCGCCCCCTGACACACACACACAGTGCAGCCCCGGCCCACAGCGCCCCCTGACACACACACACAGTGCAGCCCCGCCCACAGCGCCCCCTGACACACACACACAGTGCAGCCCCGACCCACAGCGCCCCCTGACACACACACACAGTGCAGCCCCGGCCCACAGCGCCCCCTGACACACACACACAGTGCAGCCCCGGCCCACAGCGCCCCGACACACACACACACACACACAGTGCAGCCGCGGCCCACAGCGCCCCGACACACACAGTGCAGCCCCGACCCACAGTGTCCCCTGACACACACACACAGTGCAGCCCCGACCCACAGCGCCCCGACACACACACACACACACCACACAGTGCAGCCCCCGCCCACAGCGCCCCCTGACACACACACACACACAGTGCAGCCCCGGCCCACAGCGCCCCGACACACACACACACACAGTGCAGCCCCGACCCACAGCGCCCCCTGACACACACACACACACAGTGCAGCCCCGGCCCACAGCGCCCCCTGACACACACACACAGTGCAGCCCCGGCCCACAGCGCCCCCTGACACACACACACACACACAGTGCAGCCCCGACCCACAGCGCCCCCCGACACACACACACACACAGTGCAGCCCCGACCCACAGCGCCCCGACACACACACACACACACAGTGCAGCCCCGACCCACAGCGCCCCCTGACACACACACACAGTGCAGCCCCGGCCCACAGCGCCCCGACACACACACACACACACAGTGCAGCCCCGACCCACAGCGCCCCGACACACACACACACACACAGTGCAGCCCCGGCCCACAGCGCCCCCTGACACACACACACACACACACACACAGTGCAGCCCCGGCCCACAGCGCCCCGACACACACAGTGCAGCCCCGACCCACAGCGCCCCGACACACACAGTGCAGCCCCGACCCACAGCGCCCCCTGACACACACACACACACACAGCGCCAGGCCCCGGCTACAGCCTCGGTTGTAACCCTCAAAACTCGGCCCCGGCTCCAGTTATTAACCACCGGCAGCAGGTAACTCAGCCTGAGCACGGTCTGTCTGTCTGTCTGTCTGTCTGTCTGGGGGCTGTGTGTGTGTCTGGGGGCTGTGTGTGTGTCTGGGGGCTGTGTGTGTGTGTCTGGGGCTGTGTGTGTGTCTGGGCTGTGTGTGTGTGTCTAGGCTGTGTGTGTGTCTGGGGCTGTGTGTGTGTGTCTGGGGCCTGTGTGTGTGTCTGGGGCTGTGTGTGTGTGTGGGGCTGTGTGTGTGTGTCTGGGGGCTGTGTGTGTGTGTCTGGGGGCTGTGTGTGTGTGTCTGGGGGCTGTGTGTGTGTCTGGGGCTGTGTGTGTGTCTGGGGCCTGTGTGTTGTGTCTGGGGCTGTGTATGTGTGTCTGAGCTCTGTGTGTGTGTGTCTGGGCTCTGTGTGTGTGTGTTGGGGCTGTGTGTGTGTCTTGGGGCTGTGTGTGTGTGTCTGGGGCCTGTGTGTGTGTGTCTGGGGCTGTGTGTGTGTGGGGGCTGTGTGTGTGTGTCTGGGGCTGTGTGTGTGTGTCTGGGGGCTGTGTGTGTGTGTGTGGGGGCTGTGTGTGTGTGTGGGGGCTGTGTGTGTGTGTGTCTGGGGGCTGTGTGTGTGTCTGGGGCCTGTGTGTGTGTGTCTGGGGGCTGTGTGTGTGTCTGGGGGCTGTGTGTGTGTGTCTGGGGGCTGTGTGTGTGTTGGGGCTGTGTGTGTGTCTTGGGGCTGTGTGTGTGTGTTTGGGGCTGTGTGTGTGTCTTGGGGCTGTGTGTGTGTGTTGGGGCTGTGTGTGTGTTTGGGTGTGTGTGTTGGGGCTGTGTGTGTGTGTTTGGGGCTGTGTGTGTGTGTCTGGGGCTGTGTGTGTGTGTTGGGGCTGTGTGTGTGTCTGGGGCCTGTGTGTGTGTCTTGGGCCTGTGTGTGTGTGTCTGGGGGCTGTGTGTGTGTGTCTGGGGGCTGTGTGTGTGTGTCTGGGGCTGTGTGTGTCTGGGGCTGTGTGTGTGTGTCTGGGGGCTGTGTGTGTGTGTGTCTGGGGGCTGTGTGTGTGTGTCTGGGGGCTGTGTGTGTGTGTCTGGGGGCTGTGTGTGTGTGTCTGGGGGCTGTGTGTGTGTGTCTGGGGGCTGTGTGTGTGTGTCTGGGGGCTGTGTGTGTGTCTGGGCGGGGGGGCTGTGTGTGTGTCTGGGCGGGGGGGCTGTGTGTGTGTCTGGGGGCTGTGTGTGTGTGTCTGGGGCTGTGTGTGTGTCTGGGGGTGTGTGTGTGTCTGGGGGCTGTGTGTGTCTGGGGGCTGTGTGTGTGTGTCTGAGGGCTGTGTGTGTGTGTCTGGGGGCTGTGTGTGTGTCTGGGGGCTGTGTGTGTGTCTGGGGCTGTGTGTGTGGGGGGGCTGTGTGTGTGGGGGGGGCAATGTGTGTGTGTCTGGGGGGCTGTGTGTGTGTCTGGGCGGGCGGGCGGGGGCTGTGTGTGTGTCTGGGGGGCTGTGTGTGTGTCTGGGCGGGCGGCGGGGGGCTGTTTGTGTGTCTGGGCGGGCGGCGGGGGGCTGTTTGTGTGTCTGGGCGGCGGCGGGGTCTGTGTGTGTGTGTGTCTGGGCGGCGGGGGCTGAGTGTGTGTCTGGGCGGCGCGGGGCTGAGTGTGTGTCTGGGGCGGGCGGGGGCTGTGTGTGTGTCTGGGCAGGCGGGCGGGGGGCTGAGTGTGTGTCTGGGCGGCGCGGGCGGGGGCTGAGTGTGTGTCTGGGCGGGCGGGCGGGGGGCTGAGTGTGTGTCTGGGCGGCGGGCGGGGGGGCTGAGTGTGTGTCTGGGCGGGCGGGGGGGCTGTGTGTGTGTCTGGGCGGGCGGGCGGGGGGGCTGAGTGTGTGTCTGGGGCGGGGGGGGGGGCTGAGTGTGTGTCTGGGCGGGCGGGCGGGGGGGCTGAGTGTGTGTCTGGCGGGCGGGCGGGGGGGCTGAGTGTGTGTCTGGGCGGGCGGGGGGGCTGTGTGTGTGTCTGGGCGGGCGGGCGGGGCTGAGTGTGTGTCTGGGCGGGCGGGGGGCTGTGTGTGTGTCTGGGCGGGCGGGGGCTGTGTGTGTGTGTGTCTGGGCGGGGGGCGGGCTGTGTGTGTGTCTGGGCGGGCGGGCGGGGGGCTGTGTGTGTGTGTGTCTGGGCGGGCGGGCGGGCGGGGGGCTGTGTGTGTGTGTGTCTGGGCGGGGGGCTGTGTGTGTGTCTGGGCGGGCGGGCGGGGGGCTGAGTGTGTGTGTGTCTGGGCGGGGGGGCTGTGTGTGTGTCTGGGCGGGGGGGCTGAGTGTGTGTGTGTGTCTGTCTGAGGGCTGACTATACAGGGTTGGTAGGGTGGACATCAGCTGGACAGTGCAATGGGAGGGTGTGTGGTGTCAACTGGTCAAACTCTGTCAGTACTCC